ACCAGTCAAAACGGAATCTACTGAGGCAGGTCCAGAAACCGGCACCTGCTTGAACTTACTTCCATATGTTTCCATTAATCAAACGGAAATCAATGAACATAAATTTTGACTGTGTAAACTTACTTAAAGGCAAACCAGAACTCGGGTGCTTGAAAAACTAGGGTTTTGCTCCGTTCAGCAGATGAGAGGAATAGAGAAAATGCTGCAGCACCTACCAGACTAACCCAAACTCTTCCAAACCTTAACCGCCCTCCTTTAGCAGTCAAAAGACACCTTCCAAGCATAGAGCGCCACACCCGAGCTTCACCTTTCCTAGTAACCTCGAAAATCTCTAGTCGGCTAGGGTTTCGGGCAGCAGCAGAACAATATCACTTCTTGGCAAAATATAGCAAGAACTAAACTCTCCAAACCCTTCTACCAACTAGGCAAGTGATTCTCTATACTATAGAGAACCTATCTCTCCATACACTCTCTTGATTTTAGAGTGTASAGGAACAAAGAAAAAGAAGGAAGAGGAACTGAACCCGCTCTGATACTAAGATGTAAATCAGTCCTTTAATATCAAGATTAAACTTAGTGATTAGTAGAATAAAACAGGTCTGAATAACTGTACAAGAGAAGAAGATGGCAGAGAGAAGAGGTAAGAGAAGGAGTCGAATAATTCTCCATTCTCCTCTAACCCTATTTTATTAAGATCCAAAAATTTGATGATGACAAGAATGCCCTTAAGTGGGCGGCCAGCTTGGCAGTTACATAAAGAAAAATAAAACAAGAATAAATAACAGGCCCATTAAGTGTGGCCCATCAACATAAAATAAAAGATATTACAAGAGAGGCTGTTAGGGCCCATTCAACCCAGTCTCTATACATATTTCTGAGCTCCAATTTCTTGTAATGATGATATCATTCACATACACTATTAGTACAACGACCTGTTCTTGACATCTCTTCACAAAGAGAGTGTTATCAGACTGTCATTGTTTGAATCCTACTTGCTGGACCACCATATGAAATTTACTGAACCATGCCCTGGGAGATTATTTTAAACCATAGAGAGGCTTTGTTAGCTTGCACACCTTATTTTCACTCTCTTTGGCACAAAACCCTAGGGGTTGAACCATGTACACCTCCTCCTCCAAGTCACCATTTAAGAAGGCATTCTTTATATCCAACTGATGTAATTCCCAATCAAGGTTTGCAGCCAATGATAGAAGAACCTGAATTGAGTTCATCTTAGCTA